TGTTTGATTAATTTAGCCAATTTATCATCTTTAGATACGTAACAAGTGGAACGACCACTCATCACGTTTGGTGGACTATTGAATCAAGAATGTGCAGTCCTACCCCTTAGAAGCAAAAATCAAAATATATAGGTAACAATAAATAAATAAAGTAAATGTAAAACAAACATTAATTTATTAATGTCCATTATCACACTCACAAAAGGTCTTGTATATAAAATTTAGACTTTGTTCCGTCCCCGTATCTTGTATTCCCTAAATTTGGGTCTTCCACACCAGTGTGAGAACACCAATTAAATCTGCAATTATAAATAAAATGAGTCTACACTTTTTAATAATAGAAATATGTTAGCTACATTTTAATAATAGAAATGAGTCCATTTTAATTGATATAATGGTAGTTTTATATTACTAAAATAAAAATCTTAGCTCAATCTAAGAGCAATATTTGAATATGATAAAAACTCAAATGAATAAGGCTTAATGTTAATATTAGGTTCATTGACTGCCAATACATGAGTTTTACTATTAAATTTAATTTACACAGACCTAGCTACAGGTCGGTTGCTAGATTCAATCACACGATCGAAATTTGTAATGGCATACAATTGTCCCTCGAGGATCAAAGGTTAGAAAATATTGGCTTGCTTCAAATGAGGTGTAATTTGTATAGAATCACCCTAAAACAAATACAATAAAAGAAAAAAAGGATTAAAATTGATTTGAAATATAGATTAGAACGAAAGGATTAAATAAATACATCAGGCAATGGAGGAAAGCAAAAAAGAGAATACATCAGTTAAAGAAGTGATAATTTCAGAGATTGAACCGTCCGCCATATTATTAAATACATCAATTAAAAAGTATTAAAACTTACATTATTGCCAATAGCCACAGCACCAAGACTGCCATTGATAGGATTTTTCTTCCTGGGCCTATAACATCCCAAATTCGTTGGATAAATAGGACAATTCTAAAATAAGATTTACTTTTTAACAAATCACTGATAGTTTGAGAATTAGGATCCACTGGATTCAAAGAAGGAAATAAAAAAAAAAAAAAGATGAGAAATCTAAGAATTAACGGTATATACATATAGTAATGCAATTTGTAAAAATCAAGTTAATTTGGATTGAAATATACTGCTATTAAAAGAAAGAAGATGTATTCACAAATAAATAAATAAAACAAAATAAGAAAATGAAGATGTAGTGGGGCTACTGTTAATTAAAGAGACGTAGCTAGCTGGGGACTATCGGGCTACCTTACAGCCTACGTACGGTTAATCATTGAGATAAGATGTAGTTAAGCTACGTGTTGGGGTACTGCTAATTAAAGAGGTGTAACTAGTTGGGGACTATTAGGCTCCGTACAGTTAATTAAAGAGATCAGATATAGTTAGATAATAGCTAATCTCAAATGTCAATTACATTTTAAATTGAAATATACCACTGCCAAAGAGAGAAGACGCAGTCAGGTTGTAATAACCCGAATAATTTCTAGATTTCTACTAATTATTATTATTAAAAAAGTTAAAATTTAATTAAACAGATATAATTTTAAAATTTAAGATATTATTATCTCATTAAATCAAATTAATTTAAAATTTTAATTTAAAATTAATATCTTTTAATTTAAGAATTATTATTTTTCAAATAAATTCAAAGAGGCTGGAAGCCTACCTCTTAACCCTATTCCCTTCTTAATGTCAATTTGCTTTTATGCAATAAACACCTCCTTTCAAGTCTAGCCATCTTTTTTTTTTTTTTTAAATTCAATCCTAAGATTTTAAAGGTGAGTATATTTGTTTCTCGTGATTTCTTATCATTTTTTGTTTCCTTAGATTTTTATTGTTAAATCTAATATTATAATCCTCAAATTTTTTTTTTTTACATTTGTTATTAAGGTCTCATTTCAGATTTAACATCAAAATATTAGATTTTAATGAATTTTCATTTTCATGTCTTACCTAAAAAATTATTAAATTAGTAATAGATAGTGGAAATATATATATTTATTGATTTGTTAGTAAAAATTAAAGGGGATGAAGGAATCACGGTAGAGCAGCGACCACGTGATTGTGTGGGTGCTGGGTGTTGTTCTTGCTGCGTGCGTGATGATGCATCACAGCGTCGCCATCGCTTTGCTGTTCCCGGAATTTTCAGTAGTGTCGATACTCTAATCCTGGTAACAGATCAAGTGTTGACACCTACTTGTTTATTAATATAATATGAATAAAAATAATTGGGGCAAGTGGTGCCATGCATGCAGTACATGGGTATCGTGTGACAGGTTTAAGGGTTAATTCAATGGTGTCAACACCTTCAATTTTAGTTAGTAAACAGGTACAGACACTTGTGTAGAAAATTTAATATAGATCTTATAAAATTAGATATTATTAAGTTAAATTAACATTAGTAGTTTTGGATTGTTGCCGATTAATATTCAATATAAATTTTAGGTTTTTGATTGTTTGCACATTTCAAATTTAAGATCTTCATATTCGAGGTAAGTGAATTTATTGTTTTGTCCTTGATTTTAAATATAATTTTAAAACATGATTTTATCGATTTTGAGATGGTGACGAGATTAAAAACCCATTTTGGTTTAGTTACCGTGACTAAATCTTATTTTATTTTAAGTTGAAATTCATTTGGTTAAGCAAGCCTATTCATAAAAAATTCTTAATACATGCTGCTTGATCCCTGTAGTACATGTTTTCTTGAAATAAGTATGTTACTTGAAATGTGCTTTGCTAGCCTATTTTAGTCTCCTATATAGTCATGTTCTACTTGTGTCCGCTAGTGGGAGATTTATAAACGCTAGC